GTGGATTCTATTCTATAGGTTAGACAACTCAATTCAGGCTACTGCACTTAGTATGCTTCAGAATTACACTAACTAAATGACACACAGAGATTGGATCACCACGCTCACTCCTGGTTATAGTAGGACTTTACGTGGCACTCCTTGGGATGTGGATATGGATCCACGGGTTCTTTCATTCATCCTCTATGTCTCAGCCCCCAATTAGCCATCACACAGCGGGTACCCAGCACTTGATGGCCAAAAGAACAAGGCAATTTAGTCACGTTTGGTCTAGAGAACTGAAACGGCCTCCTAAATGTGTCCTTTACAAGGACTTACCTTGTTCCTTTTGTTATCTTTTAAGTAAACCGAACACGGTTTTCTATAGCATCGCAGACATTTTAAAATTGCCATTTGCTGAGAGAAAGATGAAAGCCTAGAGGTTCTAAGTACATCACTTAGCATGTTTTACACAAGCATGACTAGTCTAGTATTTTTGCTTTAGAATACTCAACAGAAAACAACAGAAGCCACTGGGGATGTCTGCTTTTTGTTGTTTTAAAGGATAGTTCCTCAGTTTTGGACAACATCATGCTGATTATTTTGTAAAGTATGGGCTCTAAAACTGTCTCTGCTTTCTTCAGGCAAGAGCCTTTGGCAGTCTGGGTACCAGGTTATGACTGAGCTTGTTGTTTGCCTTGTAGCCATTTTCCCTTTCTCGTTAGTAACACAACACTGAGTAATGTGCTCAGCTGGAAAACTCCATTTCCCAGCTTCTCCCACAAATGGGAGTGAATGCAAATGAGACATTTGTCATTGTGTTCTACTTTCAGGAAAGTCTTTTATCCCCCTTCCATGGTTTTCTTTCATGAAACTCCTATAAGGTAGCTGATACCCAGCAACCCAGCAACCATGCTGCTGACTTCATGAAAGTCATGTGTTCAGGATGGTAAAGCAGAAAGGCCTAGGGAGCCAACATCTTGTAGGACTTTATGTGGCAGGCATGGTTGGCATCTACAATAGCTTTTGAGAGAGAAAAATGGTATTCTATGTGAGCCACTGGTATTTCAGTCTGTGATCGTGAACACTGTGTTCAGACACCCATGTGGTTTATCTGGAATAGCAGGAAAGAAACCTAAAGTATTTGGCCTTCTGTATTATATATTCTTGCTCTCTGAAAAATATATCTACTATGAGTGCTTCCGTATTATCTCTGAACCGAAGCTGCCCAAGTTTGATTTATTTCCCTGTACCAGATTTCACCATTTCTAAGACTCTTTTAAACATGCCAATTTTGTTTGCTTTTTTTTTTTTTTTTAAGACTATAGCCCAGGCTATTCTAGAACTCACTATCTAGCCCAGGCTGACCTTGAATATACAGCAATCCTCTTGCCTCAGCCTCCTAAGTGTTCAGATTTCAGGTGTGAATGATCACACCCAGCAAACATGGTCAACTTGGGTGTGTTATAATTATAAAATGTGAGTTATTCTCTTACCGTATGGAGACTCTTTGGCTGGTTTGATAGATTCCTCTCTACTAATCAGGCTCAAGACTGTAAGAAAGAGCTCCTCAGAACGTACTTCTGCATTAGAACAGCAGTAGACACACGAGCCCCAGCCTACCCGTATGCCCCAGTCTCTTCAGGATTCTGCCCCAAAAGCTGCGTTTTCACCCACTGGGAGCTCATAAACATGAATATTAGAACAAACAAACAAAAAACTTATTGAGAACTCTCTCTTCAAAAACAAAAATCATATGTATATGTTCCTGTATATCTGTCTGTCTGTCTCCTGTCCTTCACTCACTGTAGAGTTCACCCTCCGTGCTCCTGTAACACCCCGGATTCCCCTGCCTTGAGGCTTCCTCCCTGGCTGTCTCGTCTACCTGAAACATTCTTTTCCCAGCTCTACAGCAGAGTCCTCTACCGTCTTCCTGCCACCTTTACAAGGAAGGCTTGCCCACCCAACCCCCTTAGTACTCAAGTCCATCCACTCACTTTATGCATCAGGCCTTGGCTATTTTTCCAACAAGTCTTGCCAAATAACAATCTGTTTCAGTTTGTTCCTTCTTCTTTAGGATGTGCACCCTGATTCAGCCCTAGGACCTAGATGGGCTCTTACAGGAACTGGACAGATATCTGCTGAATGACTGAGTTACCTACTCCAAACTCTGGTTCTCTTTCCCTATTTTCTTTGCTCTACTCCATGGCCAATCATCCATGGTACCTGACCCCCCAGAGCCCTTCAACATGCTTCTTGACTGTTGTAACATGTTTCTTCCGGGAATGCTACTTTGTTATAAGAATTTGGCTCCACTTTGACTGGGAGGCCAGTCAGTGACTGTGTTTCAGTGTCATGCTCTAATGAGAAATTGGGTTAGGAAAACTCTTAAGATCGTGTCCAAATGTTCAGTTCTATATCCAAGTGACTCACTTGGCATTCAGAATGCTCTGATCCAGCAGGATTCCACCTGTCCAAACTCACACCCTCCTCCTTCCAGGTTTCCCTCAGTCTGTAGCCACATTCCTGAAGTCTAATGTAAGCCATGCTCATTTTAACCACTTCTTTCAAGCCATTGCAGTCACTTTCCCCACTGCCCAGTTCTCACACAGATGGCAATGCCCTTTAGGGACTGTTGTTTGCAGGCTAGCAGCATGCAGCCCGCCCTTCAAGCTTGTCATAAGTGCAACTGTTCTGGCACAACCCTGGACCTCCCAAATCAGAATCCACATTTAACAAGACCCTCGTGACTCTCCACATCCAAAGCTGTCACTACAGGACGGCTCTGCAGTCATACCTACTCACTGCCCATTAATAAGCAAAGACTAAAGCCCTACACTTACCCAAGACCTATGCCGCCCACAGCGAGTACCATGTTCCATTATCAACCTACCCACTAGGATAATCTACTGCCTACCTTTGTCTTTTCTTTACAGCTTGGTTGTAAACAGCTTACAAGAGCACAGTAGTTGTGCATCTGTTCAGCCTGCATTCAAGGAACAGAAATCCACTCGGGTCACTCCAAGGGAGGGGAAATGGTTTAACCCTACACAGAAATTCAGAATAAAATACTAAGAAAGGAGGATGAAGGTCTGGCCTCCATGCTAGACCTTGCCTCCATTCTCTGCTCCTTATGCAGTTTCTGCTGCCCATTTAGGTATTATTTCCAGGGCATACTACAGTCACCCATTTTCTCTCTTACAAGCCCATTCAGCGCTGCCCCTTTGCTTCCATTTTCATTCTGCCTCTAACCTTCATTTTTCCAGAAGTGACATGATAGCACAGGGCATCATTTTTTTTTTTTTTTTTTTTTACTAAACCGCGAGATTATGAGCTTGTGCATCACTTAGGGGTTGGCTGCCCTTGAGTCAGGAGCCCATCCTGTTCCCATCAGCTGAAGCCAAGGGGGACTGCAGTTTAGACTAAGGCCCTCACTAGCAAGCAGGGACTGTCAAAAGAGATTATTCCCTAAGAGAGGAACCTATGGGAGGCCAATCAACAAGCCACACCTCCAGCTCACAGTCCCAGAGATATAATCAACTGGCATACAATCAAGTGAAATCAACCAATACAGAGAGAAGGGTCATTCACCATGCAGCACGATGACCCTACACGGATGGATGCATGGTACTACACAGACTCAGTAAGCAGCCGGGCGCTTGCTTTTTCAGAGCTCCTGATACAAGTGTCCCACTGAGCTAGCTGTTTGACCTTGGTCAACTCATTAGGCCATTCTGGGCCAGGTTTCCTCAACCATCACGCTCCACTTTCAACAGGCTCCGCAAGTGTTGCAAGATCCCATAGGGCAATTGTTGTGAAAGTGCTTTGTACAATACAGGTGCCAATCCAAAGCAATGCTGCAGCCTCCTACTGGCCCCAGAAGCTTTCATTATCATCTATCTCACTGTCAAGGTTAAGGGTGGGGGTGGGGGGGTCTCAAAATCACGCTATCCCACCTCTTACAGCGATCCGGCGCAGAGGTACCCACCAGTGGAAAAAGAAACAAAAGAAAGAAAATCACGGTTTATTGCCCTAGAAAAACAAGGACTGTTTACTGAATGCCTGCCACACGCCAGACAGGAGGCAGGGGGCTTCTCAGTCAGGAGACACAGCTTCCAGCCTTTGCCAAGGCGCCCTTGCCCATCACCTAGGGCATCTGTTGCACACTTCCTACAAGTGGAACCACTCAACAGCTGGTCCTGGGTGGAGCAAAGAAAGCCACACACACGCACCTTACTCAAATCAGCTCAGCCGGCCAAAGTGCAGGCTTCGGCAACAAGAAAAACAAAAATGAAACCCCCACGTAGAGCCTGGTGAGCCACAGGAGGCAGACGTGCAGAGACCACAACGCAGGCGCGTGTCCTTCGAGCACCCAAACCCAATTAAGGCTCCTCCAGCCCACAGAGTCTGGGAACTGTGGATCAAAGAATCATGAAGCCTGGGAATGGCAAACCGGCTCTTCGGGGAGCCGTGATGTCCGGAGAAGCAGACGGTGGGCGCTAGAGGCCTGGCCGAGTGTTTTGGGGAATCTATTCAAGGGGACCGGGGAAGCTCATCGGGAACAGGAAAATTGCAAAGATTGCGCGCTATTGGCGAGGGAGGAGCGCGGGGCGATCGCAATGGGAGGCGAAGACTCAACAGTCGCCTTGCAGTGGAAAGGAAACCTTGGGGCTCCCGCCAGCACACAAATTCCGAGGTTTGGGATCCTGGAAAGCGTTTGCCAGCGCACAGAAGGCAGAGCTGGAGGAAGGGTCCACTGGGGATCAGGGGCGACAATCAGATCACTGGGGCGGGGGGAGGGAGGAGAGTTGCGGGGGAAGATGGGACGAGATGTCTCTTCCCGGACACACACACACACACACACACACACACACACACACACACACACACA